CTACATTTCGTGATGAGAAACCTACTTACAACTACGGATCCCAACTCAGGAATTTGTCAATCTTCTATCTACTATAAGTTAAGTAGTTTTACAGTTTATCTTATTTACCTAATGGCCATCCACGAGAGGTGGCCATGGTGAGGGAAGGTGGACCATGCTGAAGGAAGGAGGCCAATGTAGGATTCCTTCGTTGTTCTTGATCATTTTGTTAATGGCCATTGTGAAGCCCAATACTGTTCTTTACCACATTTTCTTCGTTGTTCATAAAGCAAATAGAGAAAACGTCAGGATAGTGCCAGTTTGTGCCGACATTTCCAGGATTAACTTCAAGATTACGCAACGCTCTTGGTATATTGTGCACACGAGGCGGTTGTTCATGTTATTTTGTACACACGAGGCGGTTGTTCATGTTATATTGTACACATGAGGCGGTTGTTCATGTGATTTATATTACTGGTAATATAATCAAACGAATAATTTATATAAACCCTGGATAGGATGACCTACAGTATACCAAGACGTGACCTTCAAGGTATCTGTAAAAAGTTGAGGCGTCAGGCTGACCACATGATGTACCTCGCTTCCTGATCGTGTTCACAGTGAATATATATCACCCACAGTCAACATATAACCGAACCCACCCGGGGTAATAATATACTCGATTTAGTTCTGTCAAACAGAAAAAAACCTCATTAGTAATGTCGAGGTACGGAACGAACTTGCAAACAGCGATCACAAGGAAATTAGATTCCAGTTAGAATTTCAGGTCAGCCACAAGGAAAATTCCAGGAAAGTCCCAGATTTCAGAAGGGCAAACTTTGATAGTTTGAGGAGGCAGCTGAGAGAGGGGGTATTAAGCTTGGGGGTGAATTACATGACCTCACATGAGGTGACCTCACTCAATGTACCCACAGAGGGTGACCTCACCCTTCCAGGAGACCTGACTGTTGAGATTAACCTGATAACGAGATCTGAGGTTGCCAAGTTCCACGACAATTTAAATAATGAGTTACTTAATGCACAAAGGCAGAACATACCATACAAAAAACTCAGATCAAACAACAATGACCCTAAATGAATAAATAATTATTTAAAGAACATTATTGGACAAAGGAAGGCTATAGGTAGAAGAATAAATCGTGGTGAAGTTTACCTCCAGGATTACTATAAGGTATTGGCCGGTCGGGTGAAGACCGAGATAAGAAAAGCCAAGAGGAATAATGAGCTGAAGATAGCAAGGGAGGCGAAATCAAACCCCAAGGGATTCTATCAAATGTATCAAACTAAAACACGAGAAAAGATTGGACCAATACAGTCAGATACAGGCTTGCTAACTGATAACGACGGAGAAACGAGCAATAATCTGAATAAATATTTTTCAACAGTTTTCACCACCGAAAATTTAAACATAATACCCAAGGCACCGACTGTATACAGTGATAGTGAAGAAAATAAATTAAGCGAGATAGTAGTGACTAGTAACGATATTAGTAAGCAAATAGACAAACTAAAGCCTAATAAGTCACCTGGTCCCGATGAGATATTTGCCAGAGTATTAAAGGAATGTAAGGAAGAGCTTAGTATGCCCTTAGCAAAGTTGTTTAACATGTCCTTAAAAACAGGTTTAGTGCCAGAATCCTGGAGGATAGCGAATGTAATACCGATTTTCAAGAAGGGAGATAGATCACTATCCTCTAACTACTGTCCAATCAGTCTAACATCAATCGTAGGCAAATTACTGGAAGCAATCATTTCAAACTCCATTCGAAATCACCTGGAGAAACACAAGTTGATCAAAGACTCCCAGCATGGCTTTACAAGCAGACGTTCATGTCTAACTAATCTATTAACATTCTTTTCATCAGTTTTCGAATCAGTGGACGAGGGGCACAATTATGAAGACCTAAACAAATTTTTCGAATGGTCTGAAAAATGGCAGATGAAATTCAATGTGGACAAATGTAAAGTACTCAGTATAGGAGATATAAACAGGGAAATCAGTTACCAGATGAACAACGATGTTATTGAGAAATCCGACTGCGAGAGAGATTTAGGAGTAATGATAAGTAGGAATCTTAAGCCAAGTAAACAATGTGTATTTGCTCGAAACAAGGCTAATAGAGTACTTGGGTTCATACAAAGGAGTGTTAGTTACAAGACTAGCGAGGTCATCTTAAAACTATATCTTGAGCTTGTGAGACCTCACTTGGATTACTCAGTTCTGTTCTGGTCACCGTATTACAGAATGGATATAGAATCCTTGGAAATAATTCAGAGAAGAATGACAAGACTAATCCTGGGCATTAGGAACCTTGAGTACAGAGACAGGTTAAAGCATCTTAATTTGCATTCCCTCGAGAGACGTAGAGTGAGGAGCGACATGATAGAGGTGTATAAATGGAAGACAGGTCTAAACAAAGGGGACATTACAAAGGTACTCAAACTATCCAACCAGGAGCGAACTCGTAACAATGGTTTTAAATTAGACAAATTTAGATTTAGGTGCGAAATAGGTAAACATTGGTTTGGAAGTAGAGTAGTGGACGACTGGAACAAGTTACCAAATATCATCATTAACTCGAATACGTTGGATAGCTTCAAACATACTGTAGGTTGGATGAATATATGACCAATAGGGGTTGGGAGTAAATGGGACTGCCCAGTATGGGCCAATAGGTCCGCTGCAGTTTCCTCCATTCCCATGTTCTTAATAGAGGTAGTACATGGCTCAGCACTTCCCAAGAGTGTGTAACAGAGCTCGTAGACTGCCCGACCGATCTACCAGTAAGGTGACCAACAGCAAAGAGGACAAAGTGTATGTGGTTGGTGCAGGGCGTGTTGAGGCGAGACAATGAAGGAACTGGTGTAAGAGGAGCGCCTTGAACAATGAATCCCTTGCCACGTTATATACCACCAGGTGTGCTCACAGTAGCCAGTATAAAAACATTAAGAGTGAAGAGAGCTACAGTTGAACGATTGGCCCAGACTATAGGTAGCCCTTGTCATTCCTCTGTCTGTCCAATTTAACCTATACTTGAAGCTTCTTAGCGAGTTCAAGTTAATACTAATTCTTGGTGATTTGCTCCACATTCACTTTGTGTTATTTATTCCCACGTGTCCGTCGGTTTTTATCGTTAGTTTTAAATACTTTACCTTAGTTAAATCACCTTTATTTAACCTTGATATGTCTCTATATTAAAGGTTCCTTGTGCTCAGGAATACCATTGTCACCCTTACTCGTCCGGTAAAGTGATTTCCCAACACATAACCCCTTGATTGGCGTCCCATAAACACAAATGACTATACTACTTTGTAAATGATCTTGAGATTTCTTGGCGGTAGAGTGCGAGTATGTATGTCTGTTGTCGCCTCGCACCTTAACCAGAGACCTCACACACACACCTCACACCATCATCCAAGAGCCTCACACAAACACACACTCACCCCATCATCCAAGGCCTTACACGCACTCACCCCACCACCCAAGGGCCTCACACACACACCCCATCATCCAAGGCCTTATACGCACTCACCCCATCATCCAAGGCCTTACACGCACTCACCCCATCATCCAAGGCCTACACGCACTCACCCCACCACCCAGGGCCTCACACACACACTCCACCACCCAAGGGCCCCACACACACACCCCATCATCAAGGGCTCCTACACACACACACACCCACCACCCAAGGGCCTCACACACACACCCATCATCCAAGGGCCTCACACACACCCCATCATCCAAGGGCCTCACACACACACCCCATCATCCAAGGGCCTCAACCACACTCCATCATCCAAGGGCCTCACACACACACACAATGAAGGGCCTCTCTAACATATACTCCCTCTTGGCTCAGTTGCTAGTTTATTGTGCACCACTGGTCTGTTATATTCTGTTATAAAATTACTTTTAAGGAATCATATTTTTGTTTTGAAACATTTAAAAAAAATCCTGGAGATGTTTCTAATAATACAAGTTTATTTTCGAATTAAGATCTATACTTATATCTCTGAATAACACTAAAAATGAAAGAATGAATAATAACCCTAATTAATGGATTGAATAGCTATCGACGAGTCCCTTAAGTGATATTTTTTCAGTTTTCACGAATTACTTTTTTTCTGTGACATTTATTTGTGAGATAAGAAACGTGTTTCGTGTGTGTAATAGATGTCCTTTCCTGTCTCTTCTTCCTCCTTCCTCTCCTCCTTCTCTTCCTTCTTCCCTCCTTCCTCTCCTCCTCCTCTTCCTTCTTCCCTCCTCCTCCTTCTCCCTCCCCGCCCCGCAGCTACGCCAGGAAAGGAAGGAGTTTGAGCAGTACATGATCACTTGTCGCAGGTAATGATGGCCGGAGTTCCTCGTCGATAACACATTACCTTCACCTCTCGGAACCACAATGTGTACAGTCACTAGTGTAAGCCTCCCCCTCACCCTCACCCCTGTTGTTCATACCAGTCAGTTTTACCCACTGAATCATGACGTGTGTGTGTGTGTGTGTGTGTGTGTGTGTGCGTGCGTGTGTGTGCGTGCGTGTGTGTGTGTGTGTGTGTGTGTGTGTGTGTGTGTGTGTGTGTGTGTGTGCGTGTGTGTGTGTGTGTGTGTGTGTGTGTGTGTGTGTGTGTGTGTGTGTGTTCAGGTGAAATGAACTTAATCTATCTTTTCTCACTCCATCATCCAGGGCCTTACACTTACACTCAACCGATTATCCAGAGGCGTCACACACACACACACTCAACCGATCATCCAAGGGCCTCACACACACTCACCTGATCATCCAGGCCACACACACTCACCTGATCATCCAAGGGCCACACACACACACCTGATCATTCAAGGCCACACACTCACTCACTTGATCACCCAGAGCCTCACACACACTCACCCCATCACCCAAGGGCCTCACACTCTCACCCCATCATAAGTGTTTGTAAGTTCTTGATGCAGGTGATTACGGCATGGGTTAGTTAGTTAGTTAGTTAATTAAACATCTTACCTTCACCACTGACGTTCATTTCACTTCAGTTGAGTTTGTTATCCATGTAGCTAATGTGTCTGTCCGTGCGGCTCTTAATTAGCATAAGCAATTGAGAGAGAGAGAGAGAGTTGCAGGCATAGAGAAGTTAATTGTCGCCCAGATCTTTTTTTTTTTTTAGTCCATGGTAAGATTAGAGAGAACATTATTGGTGATAGTCAGTGATGTAGTGAAGATTTCTATTGGGGAATATTATGGTGGTCGAGTCATTAATATAGTGGACAGTAAAATGTCAGTTTCCAGTTATTCGTCTTATTAGTCATGTCGTCGTGAATCGCTGACTTTGATCTCATTTTCGTATAACACAAAGGTTATAAACTCGTATATACATGAATGATTAACTTGGTGGGTTCTGAACGTTTCTATTGAATTATCATCATCATCATCATCATCATCATCATCATCATCATCATCATCATCATCAAGAGGCAGCTTAGGCCACCTGAAAAGAACATTGTATGCGGGTAAGGTGTGTGGGTACAGGAGAGCAGCCAGCTCCCCGCACTTAGGTCATCCACTCTTCATATAGGTCAGACAGTCCTCGTCGCTTGGCTGCCCTCCCCCCACTATCACTCTCTATAAGACTAGCAAGAGTAGAGAGTCCACCTGTCGCGTTTTACCTGTCCCGGTGGCATGGAAGGGCGAGCCAGAAATGAGGCCCAACGCCGACGATAAACACGTCTTCAAGAAGGTCTCCATCCTCAGTACTGTCGTAGTGTATGGGATGAAGTGAGAGACGATTTGTTGTTCACAGCACCATTATAATGTCACGGTGTTGGTGGTTCTCAACATGTACACATACACACACTACTAAGTTCCTGGGCACAAAAAACAGTCATTGGGGACGTATATCCACCTGGAAGCGCTAAACTATGTTGGGGGTTGGGGGCGCCTGGTGGCCTGGCAGAGCGAGGCAACGCAACCCTCACCGGGCGAAGTTCTATGTAACACTGGGGAAGACGGCAAGTCGGCAACCTGGGCCACGTTTATACTCCGCCTCTCGCACACACACACACACACACACACACACACACACACACACACACACACACACACACACACACACCTCCCCCCAACTTCCACCCACCTGACCCACCTTTGCCCCCGTACTTTTCCTCCACCCACCTATACTGGTAACCCCCGTACACTACCTCCACCCACCTGTATCTGTACCCCAATACACCCTCCTACTTATAGTTAATTATGAATATTAGTTTGTCAATTAACATTTTACATTTAATTTAACTGTACAAAATACTTATTAAATTCCTTTGTTTTCTTTTAGAAAGACAGTCGTTGTAATAGTCGTGCTAGGGAGGTGCTATGTGTAGAACCAAATACACAATGTGCTTGAATACTTCTCACGCATATGTGAATAACAAAGTGTGCGGCCAGACATACTGCCTCACACGCCTGTACTCACGCATTTGTGAATAAGTTACCTTTTATGGATAGAAATAAACAAATAATGTAATTGAGATATTGTGTAACATTCAGTGCCATAATATCCTGACAACGGGGGTTAATTATTATGACCCGTTGTAAACTCTACTCTGTAATCCTTTTGCGCTACCGCTCACAGGATGAGTGTGGGGTGCACAATAAAGTAGCCGCTGTAAGCGGCAAAATCAAACACCCTACATTCACTCTAAGATAATCAGAGCTCTACATGTGTATAATGTAGTAAGGTAGTGAAAAATTTTGGTGTCTGGAGAGAGATATGGAGTGTGTGAGAGACAGGGGGCGCCTCAGTGTTTAGAGAGAGATGGAGTGTGTGAGACAGGGGGCGCCTCAGTGTTTAGAGAGAGATGGAGTGTGTGAGACAGGGGGCGCCTCAGTGTTTAGAGAGAGGGAGTGTGAGACAGGGCGAGTGTTTAGAGAGATGGAGTGTGTGAGACAGGGGCGCCTCTAGTGTTTAGAGAGAGAGATAGAGAGATGGATGTGGAGAGACAGGGGCCTCAGTGTTTAGAGAGATGGAGTGAGACAGGGGCGCCTCAGTGTTTAGAGAGAGATGGAGTGTGTGAGACAGGGGCGCCTCAGCGTTTCGAGAGATGAATGTGGAGACAGGGGCGCCTCAGTGTTTAGAGAGAGATGGAGTGTGTGAGACAGGGGCGCCTCAGTGTTTAGAGAGAGATGGAGTGTGAGACAGGGGCGCCTCAGGTTTTTAGAGAGAGATGGAGAGACACAGTGTTTAGAGAGAGGAGTGGAGAGACAGGGGGCGCCTCAGTGTTTGAGAGAGATGGGAGTGTGAGACAGGGGCGCCTCAGTGTTTAGAGAGAGATGGAGTGTGTGAGACAGGGGCGCCTCAGTGTTTAGAGAGAGATGGAGTGTGAGACAGGGAGCCCAGTGTTTTAGAGAGAGATGGAGTGTGTGAGAGACAGGGGCGCCCCAGTGTTTAGAGAGAGATGGAGTGTGTGAGACAGGGGGCGCCTCAATGTTTAGAGAGAGATGGTGTGTGAGAGACAGGGGGCGCCTCAGTGTTTAGAGAGAGATGGAGTGTGTGTGAGACAGGGGCGCTCAATGTTTAGGAGAGAGATGGAGTGTGAGAGACAGGAGCCGCCTCAGTGTTTAGAGAGATGGAGTGTGTGTGAGACGGGGCACCCTCAGTGTTTAGAGAGAGATGGAGTGTGAGAGAAAGGAGCCGCCTCAGTGTTTAGAGAGAGATGGAGTGTGTGGTGTGAGACAGGGGCGCCTCCAGTGTTTAGAGAGAGATGGAGGTGTGGTGTGAGAGACAGGAGCCGCCTCAGTGTTTAGAGAGAGATGGAGTGTGAGCAGGGAGCCGCCTCAGTGTTTAGAGAGAGATGGAGTGTGGTGTGTGAGAGGGGCACCTCAGTGTTTAGAGAGAGATGGAGTGTGTGAGAGACAGGAGCCGCCTCAGTGTTTAGGAGAGAGGAGTGTGTGTTAGGAGAGAGATGGAGTGTGGAGACAGGAGCCGAGTGTGTGTGAGGAGAGGAGAGACAGGGGCACCTCAGTGTTTAGAGAGAGATGGAGTGTGTGAGACAGGAGCCGCCTCAGTGTTTAGAGAGAGATGGAGTGTGTGGTGTGTGAGACAGGGGCGCCTCAGTGTTTAGAGAGAGATGGAGGTGTGAGAGACAGGGCGCCTCACTGTTTAGGGAGAGATGAGACAGGGGGCGCCTCAGTGTTTAGAGAGAGATGGAGTGTGAGAGACAGGGGCACCCGTTTAGAGAGATGGAGTGTGTGTGAGACAGGAGCCGCCTCAGTGTTTAGAGAGAGATGGAGTGTGTGGTGTGTGAGACAGGGGCGCCTCAGTGTTTAGAGAGAGATGGAGTGTGTGAGACAGGGGGGCCTCACGACAGGGCGCCTCAGTGTTTAGAGAGAGATGGAGTGTGAGAGACAGGGGCGCCTCAGTGTTTAGAGAAATGGAGTGTGTGTGAGACAGGGGCGCCCCCAGTGTTTAGAGAGGATGAGACAAAGAGAGAGATGGAGAGACAGGGGTCGCCTCACTGTTTAGAGATAGATGGAGTGTATGTGAGCCAGGGGCGACCCAGTGTTTAGAGAGAGATGAGTGTGTGTGTGTGAGACAGGGCGCCTCAGTGTTTGGAGAGAGATGGAGTGTGTGAGAGACAGGGGCGCCTCACTGTTTAGAGAGAGATATGTGTGTGAGACAGGGGGCGCCTCAGTGTTTAGAGAGAGATGGAGTGTGTGAGAGACAGGGGCGCCTCAGTGTTTAGAGAGAAATGGAGTGTGTGTGAGACAGGGGCGCCTCAGTGTTTAAGAGAGATGGAGTGTGTGTGAGACAGGGGCCCCCAGTGTTTAGAGAGAGATGGAGTGTGTGAGAGACAGGGTCGCCTCACTGTTTAGAGATAGATGGAGGTATGTGAGTCAGGGGCGACTCAGTGTTTAGAGAGATGGGAGGTGTGAGAGACAGGGTCGCCTCACTGTTTAGAGAGAGAGTGGGAGTGTGTGAGACAGGGTCGCCTCACTGTTTAGAGAGAGAGTGGAGGTGTGAGACAGGGCGCCTCAGTGTTTAGAGAGAGAGAGTGAGTGTGTGAGAGACAGTGGGCGCCTCACTGTTTAGAGAGAGATGGAGGTGTGTGAGACAGGGTCGCCTCACTGTTTAGAGAGATGGAGTGTGTGAGAGACAGGGGTCGCCTCACTGTTTAGAGAGAGATGGAGTGTGTGTAGACAGGGGCGCCTCAGTGTTTAGAGAGAGATGGAGGTGGTGTGTGTGAGACAGGGGCGCCTCAGTGTTTAGAGAGAGATGGAGGGAGAGACAGGGCGCCTCACTAGGAGATGGAGGTGTGTGTGAGACAGGGGCGCCCAGTGTTTAGAGAGAGATGGAGGTGTAGAGACAGGGGCACCTTAGTGTTTAGAGAGAGATGGAGTGTGTGAGACAGGAGCCGCCTCAGTGTTTAGAGAGAGATGGAGTGTGTGGTGTGTGTGGGACAGGGGCGCCTCAGTGTTTAGAGAGAGATGGAGTGTGTGAGAGACAGGGGCGCCTCACTGTTTAGGGAGAGATGGAGTGTGTGTGAGACAGGGGGCGCCTCAGTGTTTAGAGAGATGGAGTGTGTGAGAGAAGGGCGCCTCAGTGTTTAGAGAGAATGGAGTGTGTGAGACAGGGGCGCCTCAGTGTTTAGAGAGATGGGAGTGTGTGTGAGACAGGGCGCCTCAGTGTTTAGAGAGATGAGTGTGTGAGAGACAGGGGTCGCCTCACTGTTTAGAGATAGATGGAGTGTATGTGAGTCAGGGGCGCCTCAGTAGAGAGAGATGGAGTGTGAGAGACAGGGTCGCCTCACTGTTTAGAGAGAGATGGAGTGTGTGAGACAGGGCGCCCACTGTTTAGAGAGAGATGGAGGTGTGTGAGACAGGGGCGCCTCAGTGTTTAGAGAGAGATGGAGTGTGTGAGAGACAGGGGCGCCTCACTGTTTAGAGAGAGATGGAGTGTGTGTGAGACAGGGGTCGCTTCACTGTTTAGAGAGAGATGGAGTGTGAGAGACAGGGTCGCCTCACTGTTTAGAGAGAGATGGAGTGTGTGTGAGACAGGGGCGCCTCAGTGTTTAGAGAGAGATGGAGTGTGTGAGAGACAGGGGCGCCTCACGTTTAGAGAGAGATGGAGTGTGTGAGACAGGGGCGCCTCAGTGTTTAGAGAGAGATGGAGGTGTGGGACAGGGGCCTCACTGTTTAGAGAGAGATGGAGGTGTGTGAGACAGGGCGCCTCACTGTTTAGAGAGAGATGGAGTGTGTGTGAGACAGGGGGCGCCTCAGTGTTTAGAGAGAGATGGAGTGTGTGAGAGACAGGGGGCGCCTCAGTGTTTAGAGAGAGATGGAGTGTGTGAGAGACAGGGGTCGCCTCAATGTTTAGAGAGAGATGGAGTGTGTGAGAGACAGGGGGCGCCTCAGTGTTTAGAGAGAGATGGAGTGTGTGAGAGACAGGGGGCGCCTCAGTGTTTAGAGAGAGAGGGTGTGTGACAGTAGCGCCCCGTTAACCGTATATACACTGCCCTCCAGTCGTACCCGGAACACTTGTTCATTCTAGGGTTTTGTTTACAGAGGCAAGAGACGTTGTTTAAGGAGCCTGGATGACGGACGTGTTCTTATGAGCCGTTCTGTTGTCCATGAC